TTAATACTCATAACGAAAATTAAACTCATACAGCACTAGTGTGAGTAAGTCAACAATATCCAGAATCTCCACAACAATGAATAACAATAATAGAACAATAAAACACAACAATGAATAAGTTATCCAATTGTGAATTCATATTGTGAGAGAAAAACTTCGGTGCAAATTTTAAATAAAAATCAAAGTTTATTGACTTAAAAGGAAATTATTTCTATGTGTTATGGTTGGAAGGAGAAAATAAGGATAATTTCTCTTACTCTAATTTTATTGAAAAGCAAAAAAAAAATTCTTTTTTTTTTTTTCCAAATGTTTATAAGAAAATATTTTCGTGTTTTGTAGAATTTTCTCTTTTTTTCATTTCTATTGTATACTCGTATTATGGCAAATGATTCAAGTAATTAATGGAGTCCTTAATTAAGGTATAAAAGAAAAAAGAAAAAGAGAGAAATTGTATATTACATTGAAGTCATTAGTTAAGTTATATTTTAAGAAAGATTTTCCAAGGTTTTACAAATTTTTTCATTTAATAGCAAAAATTGTCAAAAATTATATAAAATATTAATTAGTAAAAATAAAATATTAGAAATAAGTTGTAAACAGTGATTTTAATCTATTATTAATTGATTGTGAATTTGTGTACGTTTTTGAATTCTAATGAAAAATATTAATTATTTAAATGGTAAAGGTGTATATAAGATCAATGAGTAATTATTGAGAGTAAATTCCATTACAATAAATTAATTAATAAATTTAAAATCTCAATCCATTTAAAAATTTAATAAAATAATAAAGGTAGATATTTTTTAAAGACTCCATAATTTAAAGTCTCATTATTATACCAAGTTGAATTAAAGTTGAGTTAAATTAAATTTTACCATAATATATTGAAGAGGCAATTTATAGCTCTTCTCAATAATATTTCTCATTTTTTTCTCAATACAGTAAAATATTCAAAGTATTCTCTGTCATATTCGTGTATAGTAAATTTCAAAATATCAAATAACCTGAATATTATTATTAATGTTGTCATTTCACACATGTTACCTTCTAGCAACTATGTGAATAAATTCAACATGAATAATATTCGCTAATATTTTTGAGAAAAAAAAAAACAAAATTAATAATTAAGAGAACGAATATAATTCGACATTTTTGGTGTTATCACGAAAAGAGAAGAGACAGTACTTGTTAACAGTAACTTAATTCTATATTATATAAACTCTTATACGGGGTATTACTGTATATAGTGACGACAGTAATTTTAGCTTAATGTTATAAAATCAATTTATTATTATTCAAAATGAAAATAATATTAATCGTTCGTGACGATCGTTCTCGCAAAACTCTTCGATTTTTTTTGAATTGTCCAAGTACATACAAAATTTAATATAACAATTTTATTTTATAACCAGTTTATAATCATAAATTTTCGAATTTTAATAAAAATCCTTTTAGAGCAATAAAAATTTATTATCCCATATAAAATTTGAAAAAAAACTTGTTATGGTCAACTTGGTAACACTAAAATATAACAACTAATAATAATTCATTATAAGTTGCAAAAATATTCATAATTTAATATAATTATGCTCGGACACACACAATTTCAATTAATTTTTAAAATCATTTCCTTTTTCTTATTATCCTTAAAATTAATTTTGAAACCATTTGCATAATATCACTCTTTAAAATTTTTGCTTTTATTATACTTTTATAACAGTTATAGTAAAATTATGACATTATGAAATCATAAAAAAATTTTATGTTATATTTCTTTTTGTCTTTTTTTAGCATAATATAAAAAACTTGTTAAAAAGGATCTTAATGAAAAAATGGGTTGTGGACAAAAATATTTTTATACTAAAAATTAAGTGCAATATGGCACTGTAAAGAGAATCAAAATGTTGGTTTAAATTTTATAACAGTAGGTGTTAATTTCTATATTTAATTATAAATTTAGCCTTAATTTTCATTCAAAAATTAAATAAAAAATAATTTCAAATTTTCAACACCTCTCAGAATTCAATACGTGAAATAATAAATAACATTTCTTGATTATGTCACTGTTATAATTATACCCTCATATTTGCTCTGAAAATACTTATACATTTTGTAATTTGCTGTATTTTTAATTCATTTGCTATAATGTAATGATATTAAATTTAATATTTGCTTAAGTGTTATACTGTTAATTTCCTTAAAAATCTCTGTGAATTGAAATTAATTCAAGAAAATATTTAAATTTTAGCAAAATTAATGATATTTGAGTAAAGAATATGAAAATTTAATTTTCTCAAATTATTTCTCAATTACTGTAAATGACTTTTGTTTTACTCTTTCTTTAAATATTAAAATTAACCTTTACCATTAATAATTTTACTCATATATTAGTTATACTAAATATTATTTTATATGGAAATTATTAAATATTTCAAGTTATTTAATCATATTTAAAAAATTACTTAATTTTTCTAACAAAAACAAAATTCTTAAAATTATTTAAAAATTAATGTGAAAAATAAAATGTGAGAGAGAAAATGTTCATATAAGTTTTAATGAATTCAAATATTCAAATTTTTGGGACCATATTAAAAGAATATTTTCTTTTTAAAAAGGATCAAGAGAATTTCTTAAGGTATGTAATTAAAGCATTTAACTAATTTTCTTTTAAAATATAATAACTTTTTTTTTCTTAGAAGAAAATCATTTAATTAAGTGTGAGTTTTAATTAAATCATACGTATTCACATTCACATACTCTTCTAAATATAATTTGAGAGGTAATGAAGAGCATAATATTAACTGATTCTCTTGAAATTTACTTTGTTTCTTTTTCTTAATTCTATGTGAATATCTTAATAATTAAAATATTAACCATATAATCATATTGCATAATTAAAATAATATTGCCTATTAGATATTAAATGAATAATACTAGAGAGAATTGCAGCATGTCAAAAATATTTTAAATACTATTTTGTTTCTGTCTGTATTCTTGGAATAAAAAAATTTACAGTTACTGAATTTAGAATTGAGTTTATGAAAATGTTCAAAAATCAATAGAAAATGTTTATGTTATAGATTAAAAATTGCAAGGAATCACTTATTCTCTAGCTAGCCTTTGAAATAATTCCAAATTTATTGTAGCCTTCATATATCTTGATGACATCGCAAGGAAATAGCTGCTCTCCTCCCACCCACCAAATCAGTTCATATAGCCTTCATATATTTTGTAATAATTTTCTGATTGCTTCATCCATATATTAAGAAAATTGAAAAGACCGTCTTGTCCGGTATTTAACCACCGCAATTTTTTAGCAAGAATTAAATAACTGGTTTCTCCCCACTGACATGGCAACCAGTTTTATGAAACAACAAAAATAATTGTGTAACATGCCTTGTTACAACTCCAACAGAGTCAGAACAGAAAAGTGTTACATCAACTTAGAAAATAGTATTATACTGTCGCAATAATAAATTTCAATTCAATTTAATTGAACACTGACCAGTTGAAAAGTTCATATAGTATGTACTTGACTCCTCATCCCTAACACAATTTCATTAATTTTTTTTAGTTTATATTGCAACCATTATGTATTATTAATGGGAGAGAATCATTAAAAAATATAAAAACAAAATTTATTTGAGAAAAGTAATATGAAAACTAAAATTTTGAATTAAATTTTATAAAAAATAGAATCACATTATGTACCTGAAGAAGAGACTCAAATATACAAAGAGACTTTTGATTTAATCTTAAATTTGACTTAATTCTCCAACTGTTTTATTCTCAAAAATCATAGTAATGATGTGAGAGAAAATAAAATTATTAAATACTAAGCTCAGCTGAGTAGGTAAACTTAAAATTCTCAAATAGGTAGTAAGTTAATGAATTAAAAGAGGGTGCGCCTGCAATATATGCAATTTTTTCAATTTTAAATTTTTATCAGAATTTATTAGATTTGTATTAACAGCAGTTGCAGAATTGCAAATCTTAACAAATAAGATTATTATTTTTTTATTATAACAAGAAATTAATATCTTTAATAAAGACTATTTAAATACTTTTTCTATTAATTTATTATTAAAATTTAACAACCATTAAACTTAACGCACAGTAAACACAAAATGCTTGCCAAATAAATTGCTTGTTTTTCATACAGTTATGAGAGGAGACAAACAGAATGACTAAAAACCAATAATTTTAACGTTTCAATTTTCAAAAAAAAAAAAAAAACGGAGCAAAACTTTTTGACATTTTCAATTTATAGCAATAACAAAAGTTTAGTTTTCTCTTTTCAGAAATGAGGAATAGAGAGGAGTAACTTTCTTTTATACAAAGAAGACATAAATTTTTTTTCAGTAAATATTATGTATGTAACAAAATTGTATATTTTCGCTATGACAATAATAGAAAAATATATATATATTTTTTTGTACATATTAATAAAAATGGCGCCTTTATTCTTAATTTCGATTACGAAGCAAAATATTAAAGATTATTGTTATGAGTAGAAACTTTTGTTTTTTTTATCCTTCATAGATAAAGAAAAATATCTACAATTCATAATTTGGAATTTAAACAATAACATAAAAAAAAAACAAAAGAGAGGGAGAGAGAGAAAGGGTCTTTTCAAGGATTAATAATGATCTAATGTTGAAATCTTGTAAAAATAGAATGTTTTCAGACACTTTCACAAGAGATATTCATGGGTTGAGCTGGTAAAATTCTGTTTTTTTAAATAATTTTTAGAAAGACAACTTCCTGAGAGTTCATTTTATATTTAACGCTCTGATTCTCGTACACAAAACTAGAATTCTTAAATATAAATGCAAGATTTTTGAATATGTTATAGTATTTACCAGAATTCGGTCACAACTATCACTAACACAATTTTGATTTACAGGTTTTTTTGAATACAAATTTAGCTTACAGCTTAACAAATTTAGTTTTCTCAAAACAGTATTAAAATTTTGATTTAAAATAAAATTTCGATTTACCTTTCAATTGTGTTTTATTTAATGATTTTTGTTCTAAAACACGTCTAGGTGTAGCTTTCTTAGGTGGTGGTGAACTTTTATTATTATTATTTTGTGTCAAATTTGTTTGTGAATGAATCGGTGAAATTCGTTTTTCTGTAAAGAGAAAAAAAAACAAATTTAAATACTTTAATTATTTCTTTAATAAAGAAATTTTAATAATTAATACATGGGCTATAATACCAAATTACACACCCAAATTAATAAAAATTCTATTTAATAAATTAAAGATCAAGTAAAGAAGAGTAAAGAAGAAGGTATGCAATATAATTTTAAAATTTAAAATTATTTATTTTAGCCTAAATGTATGCAATATATCTACACAAAAATAATTTATTTGTTTTTTCGCCGTAAAAATTTTTTAACTTCAAATTAAATTGCATATGTTTAGCAACATGTTGCTTCAATATTCGAGTCAAAATTATGCCAAAAAGGAACATACGAGTATTATATTGATAAAAATAATAAAAATATTTATGTAATTTAAGATTCACCAGATTTAAGAGTTATTTTACAATTAGGAGAATGCAAAAATAGACTTATTACATTTGGGGTTAACAGCTGAATAAATATAACAACTCTTGCGAATATCATTTAAGAATCACGAACTACTATTCTTGTTCCATTTACTATTTTAAGCCTTACTCTATAAATTTTTCAGATTATCAAAATTACATTACTTATATGAGCAATATCACCGATGATCAAATTTAAATATGTGCTTACATTTAAAAAAAAAATAATGACAGATGAACATCAGTATAAATGCTACCTTAAATGTACTTTTGGATGTCAAGTTCAGGAAACATATGGACAATTTATTTTTGAGGACTTTAACTTATTTGCTGACAATATTATTTTGATATATTGATAATTTAGCTTTATATATTTGGAATAGTGAAGTGACGAAAAAAATGTAAGTGAAAAATAAAATGCAATCATAATTTTTTGTAATTATTATTGTTCCCCCGGAGATTTTTTTTGGTCTCATCCTTCTCTTTCAATTGTAAATAATTTAATTTTAATATAATTTGATTGCGTATTTTTACTAGCATGATTTAATAATTGCTATGACATGACATTAATTGTCTCTAAATAATAATAGTAATTTAATTGTATTTGAACACCTTTTTGTGTACAAAAACGAATCAATTTTCTAAATTATTGTACAGAATTTTTTTTTTGGAGAACTTAAAAAAAATCTCGTTTTTGCGACAATAATTTTTGATTTGTGTATGTTGTACGCAAACTGGGAGAAAAATAATTTAATTTGAGCTGACCTTTTTGTCTCCATTTCACCGGATGTCAAAGATTATTCAATTATTTTTTTTTTGTCTCTTGCTTCCTAGAAACAAATATTTATTAAAAATATTTAATGTTAATAAGTTGTTGACTTGTTTTTACCCAAAATCTGAATTAAAATCTTAAATGTTGTAAAAATTAATGTGTAAGACACACCAGCTCTTATCACACAGTTTAAATGTCAGTTCTCTTCATAATTCGTTCACTAAGTTAGACTTAAATTTCGTTGTATATGGGTAACAGCTAGCATTAAAATTGCCTTAAATATAGAGGGCGACTCAATGTGCCAACGTGCTTAACATTCAAAGTGATAATTTTAAAATAATTAATAGTTTTAATATTTAAACCCCAAATTATCACTTCCATTGCACTTAAATTGGAAAATACTTATTTTTAAAAACGATTTTCAGTGCCATATTAACCTACACCATTGTGTAAATTCATAATTATTTTGTAATTATTTTAAAATATAAGAAAAAAATTATTGAATTTATTGGTTTCCTGTTCTTTTTTAATAAAGCAATTAAATTTAAATTGCGATAATTAAAATATTTTTTTGACACTGTCCATATTAATTATATTATTAATAATAATTACCAATTTAATAATTTAATTAAATGGGTCTGTATGAAATGATGTTGTTAATTTATTTTAATATTTAAAATCATTCAATTAATTTAATTTTAGGTTTGCTGACAACAATATGACAATTATATTTTAAAATTAAACCGTAAAGAGAATACTGAGGACACATTATGCTTATATGAAATTAAGTAATTCAATTTTCAAGAAATTTATATGTATAAATTTATAATTTTAATTTGAAGCATTTTTGGGCTATTTCAACAATTTCACCTTTATAAAATACTAACAGAAGATTTGCTTCTATTTGAGATCAATGTTGGTATTACTGTCTTTGTGAGCGTTGTGAACTCTCTTTTATTTTCACATTTTCTTCCACATTTAGTGAAAAAATTTAAATTAATAATTTCAAGATTTTAAAAAACTTATAGATTAAAAGTTAATTAAATTTTAAATATCAAAAAATTTTCTTATTAAGCGTAAAATTTTCGTCTTCATATCATTGGAATTACTTGCATAACACAATATGCGTGAACTTTATTATTAAATAATTTTCACTTCCTTGCAAATATTTTGTAATATATCTTGGTATTAAATACTTGTAATACTGTGAATATTGAACAATATTGCTACCAAGATCCTTATCGATTATTGAAAAAGTTCAATATTCCATTAATAAAAAAAAACTACTTCCTTTTAAATAATATTTTATAGTAAAAATACAGTCATGATCAAAATTTATGCGCTTTTCTTCAACGTTGTACTTCTTACTATTTTCATTCAAATTACTTAGGAATAAGTGCGAGAAAGAATTATGGGATACATTTTTAATACAACAACATTTTGCGGTTATAGTAGCTACCTCAAGCCGATAGACATCGGGGTCACAAAGCCCCTCCCGAAGCACTTTAATCGCAGGCGAGCCACCGCCTCCCATTCACATAATGAGTGCTTCATCGTTTCGTCTTCTTCCAGGCAAAAGCGGCTTCGCTTTTCCCATTTTTAAAAGGGCCATCGAGAGGCAATGTCCAATGAGTACACCCACTAATACCTGGCAATTCAGGGCGCGAGAGATCGTTGTCTCTAGCACCCCAAAGATTATCTTCGGTCTAATTAAAAAAAAATGTCGCTCTCCTCCGGGCGAGACTGTAATGTCCTGGCACCAACATCAAAATTATCACATTCCAACTAGCCACTGCGTTAAGGGCATCACAAGAGAGGACTCAAGAACGGCATTACTGTCCGACATAATGAAGATCTTACTCCTACTGAAGTTCCTTCTGATACACGTCAGAGCACACAATTCAAATAGAGTATGTAATTCGGTTTAATAACTGTAAAATATTTTAACTCACAAAGGCATTAATTTCAAATACTTCTCAATAATTAAAGTTTTTTCGGAAAATATTAAGGCATAGCTCATTTGGAATCCAATTCTAAAGCATAATCGATCCTCATTTTAATTTTTTTTCTTCAACTACGGCAACATTGTCACAATAAAAAAAAGTCTCATTAGTTTTACCACGCAATATTACATATGTAATTAATTTTAAAGGTAAGTACCAATTATTTAAAATAATAAAAATGTGTAATTTTTAAATGTATAAAGAAAGTCATCTTTACAAGGAATACCTTGTATATTCAATATTTACACTGCAATTTAATTTTTATGCACTCTTAATAAAATTTTCATTTTATAAGAAAAACTATACTTAGTATTCATAATTATAAACCTGAAGTAGATTTTTCTCTTTTTCCAATACTACGAGAGTATAAACAAATAATAAAATTTCAATAACACTTAAATGCATTACGTATTGTTATTAAAGATTGTATAAAAAGAGTGAACTATATTATTTGCATAAAAGTTAATTACAAAAACATGAAGGAAAGCAAAAAAATGTCACAATGACGGATGCAAAGTAGTTTTGTTGACAATTTAATGATTGATGTTTAAAAACAATTTTCAACAATATTATTAGTACAATTACTGTTATTATTATTATAATTAAATTTTACTATTTCGATAGCTTTCTTCTTTCCAGTTAGTTTAATAGGAACACGATATTGTGACAACATTAAATTGTTTAAACTTCATTAATTTATATAACAGAGTCGCGCGGTATCTTGAAAAAACGGAATTTTGTTTTAATTTTTAATGGAGTTATAAAAATTTGACTTTTCTTCGAAAATTTCTTTTACCAACATACTGGAGCTGGATTAAAAGTCAAGGAATGTAGTTGGGAGGGTAAAACTTTAAAAACCCTATATAGGCTTTACACATAAAATTTTAAGGGTTTTGCAGTTTCAACGTGTACAAATGCATTTTCGATATTCCCCATTCAATTAAAAATGTAATAATATTCTATAAATTTTTTTCTTTTTTTATTCCTACATCGCTCCTGGGTGGAGCATAGAGCTCGTGCACGATTTTGTAGATGACCATGAACACCAATTTCTTACGTCATTGAGTTTACAAAATAGGTGACGGGCCTATAAATACTAAACATTTATTATGTTAAAGGCACTGACTATGCTACATTGGTTCAATAAAGTTGAACTTTCAATTTTAATTCAATTGAAAACCAAAAAATACTTTAATACATAATGTTCTGTACAATTTGCATTCATGCAATAAAAAAAAAGAAAGAAAAAAAAATTAACAATAACTTGTAAATATTTTTTTTCTTTTGCACCTCAAATACATTTATACACACATATATAAATATGAACACATACGGTTTATAATCAATTAACATATTTTTGTGTACTGCAAAATTTGGTCGTAATAAAATAATAATCATTTGTAGCACTTTTTGATAATTAAGTTGTAAAAATATAAATTGTACCTTGCACTGCACATAAAGCTCATATAACCATACGAGTATACATATACATCGGTATATATATATATACTTACATAGTTAAATTTTCTTTAACATAATTTTAATCTAACTGCAAGTAACAGACCATAACATTTTCAAAACATAATATGCATTAATCCAAAATAAACCATTTTTATGATTTGGTTTTCCTCCAGTAATGCAATTATTGATAATAACATTAATAATATATTAGATACTTATGTATATATACCTTTTCTTATAGCATGTTTAAAACCTATTAAATAAATCCGATTAAAATACCCTGATATCGAAATATAATTATTAAATATTGCCTTATTACCATTGAATGCACGTGCAATAATTTTC